TATTTCCTTTTACTGTATGTTTACCTGGTTTTGGAATAATTCAAATTACGCCCTGAAGATGCAGTAGTCAGTGATTTTACTCAAGTAGGTCTAGCAATACGTTACAAGAACAATCTTTAAGTATTTATAGTGAAGAATATGAGTAGCATGCATTTAACTTTGCAAAATGAGACCAATTTGCCTGTGGAGTTTTTCAATCTGATGTCTTTTTGCCTTTAATAGATAGAGGGTGGAAGTGAACCAAGGTGCAGAATGAGTGAATGAAACAGATGTAGTTTAGTGTGGAGTAGTGTAAGAGCAATTCATCTGGGGGAGAAAACCTGTCAACACTGAGGAGGCTATTGATATAAGAAGATAAACTGTCCAAACAGATGTGCTGAATTTCATGTTAAATTACATTGTGTGAGGTTAGATGTGGAGAGTGAGAGTTTAACACTGAATGATAAAACATTATGGTCTGAAAGAGAAAGTGGATCCACTCTGCAGCCAACAAGTGCGTCAATATATGTTGGAAAATTGATGTTCACTGCAGTCCAAAGCTGTCCAACATAGACTTAGACCTAGACAGATTTATTTTGTCATTTTGTATACACGAGTGTATACAAAAAGAAATTTAATTTAAGCATTTAATTTTTTAAAGTGCAGCCTTGAATATCAGTAATAAATACATAAAAAAACATGAAGTGATATTTATTATTATTTTTGGGATTGTTTATATGAATTTTAAATTCTCCCAGAATGTTTGGTGCGATTTCTACCACTTCTTGCCATAGTTTACTGTGAGACCTCCCCCTCAGCCAGATTCACAAGGACTGACCAAGTAAAAAATGACAAGCATTTATATGGAATGACATCATTCAATTTTTTGCCATGCTTTAGTAAAGATAAAAACTCTAGTTTATGGTCAACCAGGATGTCCTGCACAAGGTACCCTTCACTCTTAAGGGAGAAGAAGTTGAAAAGACCAAGGTTTACAGTTGCCTTGCAGTGCTGATGGCCATCCGAGCTGACCTCGCCAAGCAGGCAAGCTCACTGCAATCTAAGCAGCCACCTGGTCTACTGAATGAATCTGGAGGTCTGTCCACTTTCTCCACCAGAGGGCGTACGAGATCTCCTGGAGCCGGAGCTGATTGCACCATCTGTCTCTCATCTGCTCATCAGGAGATCCATATTTAAGGAGGCAGTAGACTAGAAGGACATGATGGAGTTCGATCAGTTCATAAGAGCCATTATGATTAAATATCTGAAGGAGAAGGTGTAGAATTTCTGGTTATGGAAGCAGAGCTGGGCGTGGCACTGTTACAGCTCGTCTATATTGTGACCCCAGGAGGCGCTACATGTATTTCACCATATATTTCTTTAGGTTTAGGTATTAATCTTGTGACTTTAGCTTTAGGTATGAATCCTTAGATGTTAGGGTTAGTAGACAGCAGACTGGAGAGGGGACTCTACCACAGCAGGAGCTTGAGTCACATTATTAGACAGATCACAGATTTTGCCATAGCAGTGGCACATGCAGGTGTACATGGAACTTGTGTAGCTTAGTGGAAGAGTACTGGAGCAGTACTCTCTTTGACTTATAAGCTAAAAGAAAAAGGACCATTCAGTCCAACATAAGCCACACATAGCAATCCCACACAATTGCCAAAACCATGGGAGCGGAGGAGGTAGCAGGTAGACAAGCTTCATCCAGACTTACACAGACACAATGTCATATAACTATTAATAAAGCACTGATTAACTATTAAAAACAAACACCTATAACATGGACAACAACCTGAGTCCACAAGTGACAGAAATGCCTAAAAAGCCTTAAAAAGAGGAAGCCAGGGAGTGGCAGTTAAAATATGCCAGCAATCACTCCAATCTTGTCCCAATGCAAAAGCAAGCTTCAGCCTTATTTTGAAAGAAATTACCTCTTTACCACGAGTTCTGTTATTATTCAGGAAAAACAATGAGGGCAAATAGTTTATGGTAGCAATTATAAGTAGCTTCATTCAGGAAACAGACAGAGAAAAAAGAAATATTTTCCAAAATTAGGGGAAGCAACAGCTCTGGTAATGTTTTGTCTGAGAGAGAACCAAGCACTTGACCAGGTGTACTTTCTATAGGAAATAAACAGAAACACATAGTTAATTAATATTGAATAAATAAACATGTTTTTTTCCCATCTTTTAATTTATAACCTTTGGTCTAAATGATTTGAACACATTCAGATTACAGCTATACAAGTAACTATTGTATTGGAGAGATTTAGCCCAAACATGTCTCAGGACATGTTTAAGGTATTTCACTGAATTTACACAAATATGCTTCAAAGAGGGAGTGTTAAAAGGGACTTTCACCAGCTCACACAGATATGGTGAATTTGGACTTAATGTGATTTCAGGTAAACTCAGGTTTTTGTTGCAGTTGACCATAGCCAAAGTGGTGCACAGAGCAGAAGACCATGACAAAGCATATGACAGGTTTATTAGTATTTTACAGCTTTACAGCTGAAGCGAAAAACCAACTCCTGCTTCATTATTTTTATTAGAAAGTTTTGACGTCAGAGAACTCAACAGCTGTTTACTCTGGGTTGAGAAAAAGCAGAGATGATATATGACAAATGTTGTGGTTTAACGGTGTGACTCACATCTTTGTACTGGTTTAATGAGACTCCAGCACAGGCACTCATGTTGATGTCATGGGTTTGGGCCATGCAGAGAGAAGGTACCAGTGTTGATGATGGCTCGGCATTTTCCAGCGAAGGCCACAATCTCCTCATTTATACCTCGAATGTGTAGCAGATGGTGAAACACTGTTTAACCACAAAGCTGAGTGCAGCTTGCTTGAACTGTGTATGATGTGGTTGTAGCAGTTACTTTCTTTCTCCCCTGGGTGCTGACGTGTCTGTATTTGCTGACGTCAGAGTGATGGCGATGCTGGTATTGACATCATTAAACCGCATCTGTCATGTAGCTAACAAAAAGCCCAACTTCCACATGTAAATTGAAATATATATGTAGAAAAGTCATACTTAAAGATTAAACAGGAATCTACCAACACAATTAAGGGATACATGGGAGCAGTTCACAACATAAGCTGAAGCATCTAATCTTGCTTCATCACACTAATGATAGCAAGCCGCTCACTGTTAGAGAAATTCCAACGGTCATCCGTCTGCATGTGAGCCATGAGGAGAGGCTCCGTCTGTCTTTTCCCAACCTCCTTGCTCAGCAGAAAGATGCTGCCCACCTGCACTGTCATTCAAGGTTCAACAGACCGCAAGAACACGCCAGCTTGAAGTGTAAATACACATTGAAATTTATTGTTCCAACGATTTGGTGACCTAAATGGTGCTTTTGGACAGATACTCATTTATGCTGCCAGCAAGAAACAGAGCTGGTCTTCATGTTTAAATGGGGGAAAGAGTTTATTGTGTGGAGAGTTCAATCTGTTGTGGTTTTCTACAGATGGATGGTGTTAACTGTGCATCCTATGACAATCACAGCTCGTCATTGCTAGTTTGGTCGTCCTTTCTTTTCCAAGGATGAATTGCTTTTTCTGCTGTTTTTTTTTTTTTTTGCTCCGACACTCTCTTTCCAACATTTTCCTACATCCTGACAATAGAAAACTGAATATTCTACTGCAGACAGTTTTTTAGACTAATTAAAAGGTTTGCATACCTGTCAGCTTTGTGCCTAATTAAAGGTATAATATTTGAAACTCTATTGATTCTTCCTCAATAATTATCAAGGGCATTTTTTCAATTGTATATATTTAAAAGCTAGATATGAGAATTTGATTTACTTATATATAATTCAAATCAATTTAACTTTAGTTTGCGTAGTCATTACTTCACCTGAGTCACAAACTTTATTCAGCCTCTTACTATAACACTAGATACTTATTTTTTGTGTTGCATTTAAGCCAAATTAATCATTTAGATTTTCATTTGTCAAAACTTCAGCATAACTTATAGATCAATGAAAAGTAATGACTCCCCTATTACATTATTTTCTGTTTATCATGGGTCTTCAGTTTTAACCTGTGTTAGCCAACATTTGTGAAAAATTCAGCCTTTAACTACTGGTAACTGTGAGTTAGATTTACTGAAATCCAAAATTCATAGATTGATTAATAATAGCTGGCAATATATTTTTTCTTTGTTTAGTTTTTATGTTCATAGTTTACAAGTTGAATGTTAGACTTTTGTTTGGTTGGAAGTCTTTGCTATAGTGGTGCATTGCTTTAATTTTGTGTTACCAATTATATTTTGCACATGGACGACTAATTAAAAAAAGCATGCATAAATTAAGAAAGATTCCACTTAAGGAGTGGAAGACACATAGGAAGGACTTAATGTTCTTTACAAATAGGTCTGAGCACATATACTCAGAATACTGCATGAAGCAGCAAGTGTTAATGTTGTAGTGGAGTTTCATTTTTTGGTAATTTTAGTACAATTTTAGTACAATTTTGTTATTACGTTGTTATTATCAATTAACATTTAGTAGACAATTAATTATTTTCTAATTGTTGTCAGTAACATTGTTCATAGTTATGAGCAATGTGGTTATATGTAATTATATTATATAGTCAGTTACTATTTATACAAAATAGGAAAACAAACATTCCATTTTCCTGAATATTTGTCTTTCTTTACAATTCTTGACATTTCTCATATTACCAGTATTAAAATTAGGCCACATGAAAAAAGAATTAGTAGGATAGAAGGTGACAGAGCGTCCATAGGACCAACTCTGAGTAATGTTTATGTTAGGAGCAAATTAAAACAAATTCTGGGGGTAAAAAAAATAATTCCTTTCTAGACATTGCTGAATTCTTTTCATAACTATCTAGAATAGCCTTGTTTTATTCTTAGGGAAATCTGTTGTTTGATATATTCACCTGAAACTTCCATCTAAGTTTATCTTTATTACTCAGAATTTTAACATAACAACACTGTTGTAATGGCCATTATCATAATAAAACATTTAAAGATATTTGGTACAGTTTTACATGGAGAGCATATTCTTATAGGTTTATTGACAATAATATATATTTCTATGTACATCTCTATTGATAAATTAGCTTAAAGTGTGCAGAATAGAAATGCATGGTTCACAAACATCTTGATAGTAAACCTTGGCTTGATAGAACCAACCGTGGTGCTTTACAATGAATTGCACTATGCTGTTACATCATATGTTGTGTTTTAATGCATAGTACATAAAGAAAGAATAAAGTTGTTGAGGACGATTGTGATCCACAGCCTGTTTATCTTGATTGCTATTCGTTCGAGCATCTGGCCATCAGTTAAAAGTCTATGTTTTTGAAGTCTTCGGTACATCTGTACTTGCTGTCATCAAACCTGGAGCAAACCAAGTGGGGGAGACAGGGGCAGGTGTGATGTAGCCTTTTCCCAGCGTATGGCACCTGAACGGCACAAAAGAGAGACAATAGAGAGAAGGTGGGGATCAGCGGATTGGTTCTGACATTTTCAAACTTTTATCAGCTAACGTTTGGAGCTTCAGAGATTAAATTGTCTTCTTTATTAAACTATAGAGATGGATTCAGTCCTTGCTAAACAATCTGCTCACAGGTCTAGATGATCAAACAGATATATGACTCTAATCGCCTCATTCGCTAGGGACAAGATCAATACCCTCTGCAGTTATCAGCAGGTTTTCCGGGGCTATAGCCAACCTGCCAGCACTTGATACAATCTGAACGTGTGATAACTCCTGTGTGGGTGTTTGAAAGAGACACAGAGATGCTGGAAGATAACTGCAATGGTAATGGTCCTAAAAAAAAGTATTCACCAATCTTAAACTTTTTTACTTTGTCATGCTCCTGCCACAAAGAGAAAGAAAGAAAGAAAGAAAGAAAGAAAGAAAGAAAGAAAGAAAGAAAGAAAGAAAGAAAGAAAGAAAGAAAGAAAGAAAGAAAGAAAGAATTTCTATATCTACATTTGGCTGCTATGACAGCTAAATGGATGGATGGATGGATGGATGGATGGATGGATGGATGGATGGATGGATGGATGGATGGATGGATGGATGGATGGATGGATGGACTACTGTACTTTGTGTAATTTTGATAACTAGTGACTGTTATGTGCAAAGTAGGCAATGATAAGTCAGGTCTAAAAGAACTTAAAATAGGTCTATTTGTGAACTTCAAATATCAAGCTCTACCTCGGTTTCTGAACCGAATTTAGTTATTTGGAGCTGTTGTTTTACTAATAGATTTTTTTGTGTGTAGCTTCATCTATTTCCAACATCTGAGAGCCTTCCATGTACCCACTGAGACAAAGTATTCCTATTGCATGATACTGCCATGGGGTTTAACCCTACACATAGAGGTCTGTGTGTAAGTGGAAAGAAAACTTCTGTCTCATCATCCAGAGAACCTCCTTCAAAATATTTACAGCATTCCCTCCCTCCTATAGCGAGAGTATCACTAATATCCAGAATCCAAGCAGCTCTAAGACTTTATAACCATGACTGATCCCAACAAACTCAATAAGTTGTGACATTCATGCTAATTTTTGCACAGTTTCTGTCTTAGTCAGTTAAATAACATGCTGCTGTCTTTTTCACATATGCATAACTGTAAAAATATCCACAGCTGTTATTAATTATTTTTAATTATCCAGATACAGAGTGTTTATATTGTAAAAGCACCATAGAGTACAATAATATATTTGTTTTATTTTTTATTTTCCTGTTATTTTTATACACTTTTCTAAGGTACACATTGTGTGACGAGTTCTACTATAACCTTTGCTGCTGTAAACACCACAATTTCCCAATTGTGGGAGAATAAAGGGATTTTTTATTCTATTCTATTCTATTCTATTCTATTCTATTCTATTCTATTCTATTCTATTCTATTCTATTCTACTATAGTCTTGTTGACACATTCTCCCTTCTGAGATCTCCACCTTTGCATCTCCACTAGATGTATCAAGGGTTTTTTGGCTGCTTGTTTGATTTATGCTCTCCTTGCCTATATCTTCAGGTTAAGTGGACAATCGTGTCTTTTAAAATACTTTTTGTTTTACATTTCAATGGTTGAATAGACTATCTATGTTCAAACCTTCTTTTTTACCTGGCAGCAGCTCTTCTCTTCTTTCTTCCCTACCTGTGTGCTGTACTCCTTGGTCATCATGATGTTTTTTGTTCAATAATGTTTTCTAGGACTCATCTAAGCCTTTTAAAAATAGTACAGTTTATATTGACACTAAATCGTATGACAGGTTCGCTAATGAATACAGTTTTTTTATTTACATATTTCTGAGAAAGTGGGGGATTAAATACATACAAATTTTCATGTTTTTTATTATTTTCCCATTTATCTCACAGCTTTCATCTTCTCCCTCTTGGTCTGTCATATAACCTTGCAATAACACATTCTGATACTTTTATTTGTATTGTAATATAAAAAAATGTATTAGCTCCTTTGCAAGCTGTTTTTTTTGGACCCACCTTGTGGCTGAAAGGGTGGCATTCATCCCCTTCCGCTCCTCTTGGGGTGCACATTCTCAGACCACTCAGCCAAAGACTGACGGCACAGCAGAGACCAAAACCACACTGCACATCTCTCTCACAGGCCTGCGGGGCAATGAGGTACAAAAAGTTAGCACCATAACAAATAACTTACAAAATTGATTGAATTGAAAAATATGCATAATGGATCTAACTGCATGCCATTGTTGTAATAGAGGCACTCTATATTAATTTAGAATAGCATGACATTTCTTCAGTCATCAGTCATTTGGTAATTGATTTATAAATGACTAGTACTTGGCAGACTAAGATGATTTCCTTTAGGATTTTTCCAGAAGACGAAGCGGAGGAGGATGTGGTCTGCTGTCAGTCATGTGAAATTCAATTAAAGATAATTATCTAGAAACACCAGCTGTTCTGTTTTGATTGTATATAGGTTGATTTACATCTTCCACGAGGTTTCAATATTTCTTTGTAGTTCGAGAAAGCTAACTATTTTATTAATCATTTTTAATGGATTTAATATGAAAATGATTTGCTGTGATGTGCTTCTTGCGAACAACTATTACTGTATTAAATGTTAAACAATAAATGCATATAATTATATATAAATATGAAACATTTTTGCAATCAACAGCTATATTCCTGAAATGTTATATATATATATATATGTATATATATATATATAAGATAAAAGCCAGTTTCAAAATCTAAATATTGAACAAACTTTATCACAAACAAAAAAATTACTAGGACACTTTATTGCTGAAATTTCAGAGATTTACTTTAAATTTTAAATTAAAAAAAAAGAACAATTTTGGATCATTTCAAACATATTTGTATTCAAAATTCATATATGTGTTATAGTTACATTGGCAAGTTTTAGAGCTGCAAACGTCCCACTCACCCCTGTAATGACAGCTGCTTTGGACCAGCTCAGAGACACCAGCAGGAAGGACAGCAACACCACGCTGAAGTCCATGGCAAAAGCAACAGGAACTCTCCCAAATGTTGATCGACTCTGCAGCACCTTACACCAAGGGTTCCAGATTCTTCACGCAGTCATGAAGGTTTGCAGATCTCTTCATATACAGAGGGGATCCTCACTCTCTCCCTCTCTTTATTAACCTGCAGGCTCCCCCCCACCCCACCCCACTCCACTCCCTACGTTTGAAATTTCCCCACGCCCTCTCTGCTCGTATACTGAGAAGCTTTGTCATCTTAGTCATCAAGGTTCTCCTCAGTCCTCCTGTGCTTGTAGATTCCTGACGTCTTCATGACATTACAGTCTTCCAAAGCATCAAATCGGTCAATTACTAACCCCAAACCTCACAGCAGCACATTGACACAAACTAAAACAAAGCTGACACCTGTCTGCAAGATAAAAACAGAAAGTTCTGAGTATTTTCTAAATGTTAAACAATAAAAAACATAAATCAATGCTGAATAGGCCTGACTAAATAAAGGACTGTAAATAATATAATATTATATTCTGCCCTTGTGAGTCAGTAATGTGAAGATGCACTTTTTGTTGCAATTTACAGCAGCAGATCTTTGATGTAGTGTTTTATCTAGTGACAGAACATGTTTTAATTAAAACCTTTCCACTGTTGCTCCATCTGTATGCTGAAGGTGGTTGTTTTGCTAGCAGGTAAACCATCCGTATTGTTTTAGTTCTTCTGCTGCCTCTATGAGTTGATCTATCTGGATTGCCCAACATTCCTACCATCTTACCTATTTTTCTGACCATCTTCCGTATCCCAGCCCAGTTTGTTTGTTAAGTGTGTGCAAGATATTCAGGTTACCTTTAATTGTGTTTTAGGTTGGCTAAAAAACGGAATTTTGATCACATCTTTGCAAAATAGCTTCCTTTCAGGGTTGCCCAAATTCGATCCGCGAAAGCAAAAAATCCTGCAACTCCTAGATGCATCTCTTATCTCATTCACCTCAATCAAATTAATGATGGACTTTCTGGCCATTGTAGAGCTGAACGATATACTAATGCTCATTTAATTTTGCTAGAGAAGAAATATATCCAAAATCTGCAAGGTATCATGTCTAAAAGACTAGATTTAGCTTCCAAGCTCTACATGTTTGTTTTGACTCATTCATGGGTTATGACAAGGGAATTCTTTATGCTTGCTTGTATTATTTTTTTTTCTCCACAAACATCATATCAATAGAGTGGACAGCTAATATTCTAAATGTTCAGGTTGTGTATTTTTTTAAATAATTTATTTCTATTCATTTGTAAATACTAAACTGAGTTGAATATAGATGCATACCACTCCTTTAATATTTGTAACCACAATATATCCCAATGCAATGCATTGTGGCTGTTATGTTACACACAAAGAAAATAAATGTAGATGTGTTAATACTTTTGTAAGGGACTAAAAAGGTTTTTATTGTGCTGCAAACAAATCAAATACAGATGTAAAGGTTTAATAAGCATAAGGAATGTAGAAATGTGTCAAAATGTGAAATAAAAAAAAATTGTAAAAGAAGTCCAGAGTAGTCCTTTTGGTATTTTGGTTTTCCATGGTATGGATTGCTTTTTTTGTTGTTGTTGATATTGTATTGGAAAATATAGATAAACAAAGTAAAGGAGTTTTGATCAGAGAATTGATATAATAAAGAAACAAATGAGACCTTTGTTAATTTATAAAACCAATACTACTACTGAAGAGAAACAAAAAGAATTTAATGATGATATGCTGATAATAAGATTACCAATACTTAATTGACACTGTCTGCCCCTGAACAGGCTAACAAATTAACAGAGGGAGCCGTCCAGTATTCCCAGTAAACAATCCAACATTCCCTGCCAGGAGGCCTCCGTTCAGCCCATGCTGAACTACAGATTACTTGCAAAAGTTGTTGCTCAAAGCTGATAAGTCTTCCGCAATGTTTATTTGATGTTTTCTCTATGAAAAACAAAGAAATATGTAAGAGGTTTGTTTCATGTAAAAAGCGTGACTTGGTAAAAAAAAAAATGTTATCAAGTAGAAATAAGGGGAAAATTAGTGTAATAAATAGAAATAAGGTACTGAAATTGAGAAAGTTTGATGACATACTGACTCAGAATCTGATCTCATTTGCACACTTTAAAGTGATTGTATAAATGTTCTATCCTGGTATTTAAGCCAGCCACCATTGGTTAAATATTAAAGATTTCTTAAATGTGTCAGACCAGAACATATGCAATAATTTGTAGTTGCATTAAATTATTCTGCATGTGCAAACTCGCGCTTTGATATCCGTTTGTCTATGTGCATACTTGCAGCTACAGGCGGTGATGGGTGGCTTGGATTCAAGATGCTTAAAGAGATATATGATAAAGGAGAGAAGAGAAGCATAAAGATAAGAATTGAAGTAGAGGAGCGTGTAGCTGGCGGGTTAGTCAGCAGGACCTCACCCGGCTGCTGGACAGGTGATGGATTCCTCCAGTGCTGCGGTCACATAAATATATTCAACCAGAACTGCTCCGTCAGCAGGAGCACCAAGCCTCCATCCTCTTGGAAAAAAGCAGCAGAAGTTATCCTGAAGAGGGACTCACATGCTTCAAAGTAATTTAAGAGAAAATTACCTAAAGGAAAAGATGGTTCCTTATCTGAAGTTCTGGTGAGAAATTTACATATATTCCTCATTAATATTGCAACCTGAGAGACTTCAAAGATGCTACATATTTTGTCCGTTTCATCTTTCATTTTGTCACATCTAAGATATTTGGCATTTGTAACAGAAAAACTAGGATTCCTGTTTCCTTCCTAATCAATTCTGAAAACAAATAACTGCTTACAGACAAGTTAAAGCTTTAAATTACAACTATTATGCATAACATAATTGCTATTACAGTGGTTTTATATTTTGAATGTGAAGAAGACACATCAGTAATCAGATTGTCACACTTAAAAAAGACATTGCCTAATTAGTTGCTCCCTAATTGGTTCTTTCCACTGTTAGAATTAAAAGCCCTTTATGTGTTTCAGTCCCTCCTACTATACAGAAGGAGGAACACTGTGTTTTGCATCAAACTGTGAAAGACTTTGCCCCAAAAAGCCTCCCCTTTCCCAGCTAGCTACAGCAGACCAAGCTTAGCCTGCAGCTATGAACACCTGCCCTGAGAGAGATCAACTGTTGCCGGCCTTCTCTAATAGTCTTTTAGTTTCGTACAACTTGACTTTGTTGGCTACTAAGCTGCGGAAAGGAAGAATATTTCATTAGTCTAGTCAAAACCTTTCCATTTATTTGGTAGGAGCATTTTTTTCTGTAGTTGTTGTGGTAGTTGATAGTTTTCGTTGTATTTCTAATCCCTCTTCTTTGAAAACAAAATTCAGCTTATTGGAATTTCTTGGTTTTCAGAGACAGATTATGCTTTTTAATAACCATCCATCCATCCATCCATCCATCCATCCATCCATCCATCCATCCATCCATCCATCCATCCATCC